AGTCTAAGCGCGTTCGTGTTGTGCACCTATGCCGACGGCGTGAAAGAAATTAATTTTGCGATAGCACCGAGCTAATTGTGAGGTGCACTTTGAAGTCGCCCTCAATATATCAAGATGCACCGAATGCATAAACATATCACTGCTCTCTATCCTAATGAATTTTCCGCGCTTCAATATATCTACTATTACATCGTCTTTGTTTTCAGGACTTACATCTACGTAAAAAATTTTTATTATTATATTAATATTTTCAACGATTGCTTCTCCTCTCGTTTTTTATTCGCAAAGCTATAATTATGCTTTATATAATTAAAAAAAAATAACGTTTAAAATAGTAAAACAATAGAGTTTAAATATTATATAGAATTCGAGAAAGAGTCTAACGTATTATTCCTAGATCTGGAAATAAAACTTTATTTAACAATAGTATTAAAATAATAAGTCGAAAAAGTTAAGCAGCTTCAAAATAATAAATGTTCTCAACTGTACCATTCAACTTTAACAGCGAATTAGATGAGAGCAAAATAATTAAAAGACTTTATGTGGCATAACTTACTCGTTGAAGTATGAAATACATTTTTTGTAGTCTTGTAATAAAAATATTCAGTATATATATATATTTTGATGTTTCATGAAGTGTCACGTGAATACGTTACTTTCAAATGAATGAAGACACGTTATTTATTCATTAAAATGTAAATTATATACATGTTACTTTTTATTTGCGAGTTTCATTTTTGTATTCTATTAATTAGAATGTTACATATTCTGTTAATTAGAATATTACATGTTTGCAGTTAGAAATATAAGCAAAGGTTACATATCTTTAGATTAAATATAGACTGCGAGAAACACATAATTTTCCAAGCTTATCATCATCTTTAAAAAGCGCTTCTATCGTAAGCGAATAGCGTTGATGCACTTTGAGGCTGTGAACCGCGTGTGCGCGCGTGTCATTATACATTCCCCTTTGCTCATGCCAAAAGGTAGATGCATGAGACATGACGGTGCGTGCAAAAAAAAAAGGAAAAAACTGAGAACCGCATATCTACCGAAGCTAGGGTGTGCCAAAGCGTGTGTGTTGACTGCGCATATTTATCTAACGTACGCGTTCGTATTTCGCTACTACGGAGATTTCGGAGCGCGAAGCACGGAGTTGCTAGTTTAATACCGATTCCGCGTGCAAATACGCGGGGGTGTGTCGACAGTGGTTTGCTGTTTGCGAATTAGGTGCAATCAAACGCAAAATCACACTGGTAAATATCACACGATTTACCAATCACAGATTCCTGCAATTAATTGCTCGGTGCGATGCATTATTAGCAAAAGACAATTTTATTATGTTGAGAAGGTATAGGAATTCTCTCTTGGAGACACACCGTAATTGCATGTCACCATAATAACGTTTTTCTACTGCATTTTGTTATATTTTAGCTATAAAAATTATTTATTATACGTGTTTAAAAGTATTCTGTTCAGTATTTATTTGTTATTTAATTCTTTTATACGCGATGTGCAAAATAAAAATAGAAATTTCAAAAATACAAGCACTCGAATATTTGATAAAAATTGATAAACATTACAAATTTTTGTCTCGTATTTATATTCTTCTATAGTCATATTTTATTACTTATATTAATAAAACTTTTAGCAAAAATTTTATAGAAAATTACAATATATTGTGTCAGAATAATACAATTGTTAATATAAAAACTTTATAATTAGGCTTTAAATTAAGTATCAGCTCAATTAAATGTCTATCTACTTAAACTAAAAAAGAAGCTTTCTATATCTTCTTGTATTTACAAAATTCAATTAAATAAAATTTTAATTTTATATATTGAGTTTGATAGAGAAGTAATCTTCCATCTCAGGTAATAATTTTAAGAAGAATAAAACACATTTCAGGTTTCATCAAGAAATCTGTCATTAACAATTAATGTATAATAATAGAAACTAAACAGTCTGTATTAATAAAATATAAAAGTAAGGAAGAAATTTATGACAAAAGCGTATGTCCTTTCCAGTATGAATAAAATATACGTCGGCGCGTCAATCATACGCCGTCAGCCGTCACTTTAAAATAGGAAATATGCGATAATTGTTTCGCTCTCTCAAACTGTGTACTTAACAAATCAAATTGCTTCTTGTAAACGTCGGAGAACTGACGTTTCGTGTTTGAGGAACACTTATTTTAGCAATTAATTTAGCCCTTCCATTACCAGATTGCTTGTTGCAAACATCATCTCGATCAAAGTACAAAATTCTACGATCAATTCAAACTGTAAATGAAGATAATGTAATGAACGATTGATACCACATCAACGCCTGTGTAGGTACAGTTATGAAGAAAAAGTCTATAGAATTCATCAGAGTTCGAAAATTTATATAAAAGTTATTTATATAAAAGCCTTTAATAAAAAGGCAAAACAGAAGGTAACTTCACATAATTGTCAGCGTACAGAATGGATACACATATATTGATCTAAAATAGTAACGGCTATATGACTGAGGCCGAACAAATAAAAATTTTAAAAATAAATATAATATTGCAATTAAAATCATATTAAATATAAATATAATACTATAATTAAAATCGTATTTTCAACAGTATTATTATGAATAAATAAAACCTACGTACCATTATTTTGAATAATAAAAACTATGATATAAATTTAAGTCACTCGATGAATATTTGTGATCATTTTAAAACACATTTTTTCAATTAAAATAAATTGCGTATAATATAAAAAAATTTGAATTACATAATCTAATATACTCGTATCTTTAACAAAATGTTAAAATTCTAATTTTATAATATAAACAGAAACTTCTATTTTACTAATTGTTGATTATTTCTTTTAATATTTTCGATGCTTATGTATCATCTATTAATTTTTACAAAATAAAATAGACACAGAAATATCACCAATGTGCAAACAGCTATATTCGTGATAATAAAATGTTGTAAGTCAAATTTCACCCGTATTTTTATAAATAACAAAATATTAACTTTCCAAAAACAGATTGTACTGGTCTTTAATCATATATAGATCGGTAGCATATAAAACTTCTACAAAAATATCAATTTAGTTGAATACCGAACGACCTATCTAATGGTACATAGAAACAAAATTGCACAAATTCGAGATTGTCCCACGCACAAAAAATTTGAAATAGATGCTCAAAAAATACAGCTTAAATTTCTATATTTATTCGCAAATATACAAAACGCACTCGCGTCTAGAATATCTATCTATTTCATTCGCGCGCGATAAAAACACCCGCGAGCTGATAACTTTACTCCGACGCGTCATGCATAAATTAAGGCTATAACAATTTTGAGAATCGCGAGTCGCGTAAGTGTATGCGGCTTTTATCAATATCTCATTGCGAGAGTCATTCCGGCGGAAGTAACTCACGTGACGATTATATTTAAGGGTGCGGGCGTTTATTACGGGTCTTATCGTGCGTATCGAGGAGCAACGTAACGCAATCCGAAGACGCTGATTAAAAACCAGGGTACTTCGTCGTACAGATATATCACAGGCGGGGGGATTTGCAACTAATTCGGGACTAATTCGGGCGGTACGAGGCGGGCGATTAACGAGCGGGCGAAGCCAAGTAGATTTACGAAGCCTTCGGTCGTCGGCGCGATAATTCGGCGTTAAGTCATTAGACTCCCCCGCGCATAATGGCGCCGGCGTATTTCAGTAGCTCCTAATCTGGCTGGCATACCACGTGCCGACGCGCGCCGCGCGCGTCCGGAAATCTCGCGATTACTCCCCTTTAAATTTCTGCCGTTTGTCTCGCCAGCGCGCGACTTAAGAATAATCGCCTGGGCGCGAATAAACGGATGATCTCCGGCACGATCTACGAAGTGTCCCGTCCGATGGCTAAAGAACCCATTTCCCAGTCGACTTGCCGTGAAAGAGAGAATAATTATTATCACGCGAAAGAGGATAAGGGGAGCTCATTGGACTAACTTCTGCCGCGATAATTTGTACCTGCCACGATTCGTATAAGCGATTGCGGCGGGGAATGGAGAAGCCGAAAGAAAATAGGCGAAAGAAAGAGTAGCAAAATAAATGCCGAGGAAAGAACAAGTTAGGAGAGAGAAAGAAAAAGAGAGAGCTTAAAGAAAGATAACACGATGCCGACTTTATACGTTTCCATATGAATGCACCTATTTTCATTTTATATTCTCGTTTACGAGCAAATGCAATCTCAATCGATACAAAGAAACCTTCGAGAACAAGAGACTATTCGTCCTAGAATAACGTTAGAAGGATCCCGCGCGTTGTCATAGAGCGAGAAAAACTAAGCAAAGAGATGCGAATAATTACGATTCGAAATTCGTCGCAAAGAGTTTTATACGTTCGAATGACGTGTCCCACGTTCTCTATCAATGGGATAACGTAAATTCGCCTTACGATACCGCGGCACGATCGTTCCCACGAGATCGAAGCAAAGCTCCTACAAAAGCGAAGCGACGCAGCGCGGTGCGACGGCTTGGGTGGCGCGAAATAGGTGACTCGATCGCAGCAATCTCGTTCGTTTAAATTACAGCCGGCCCGTAATCACCCCTACCGACTTTTATCATCCGCGTAATAAACAAACCGCAATCGTAAAAGCCGCCCGTAAAATTCCGCCGAGGGAGAGGCCGCGCGACAATGCAGTTAATGCTCGCATGCAGAAACCCCGTCGTATGCGGAACAATCGTAAAACAGTGCCATTGCTTTACCCTTTCTCCGTCTCTCGCAAGAATCGCGAAAATCTCGATCGCGAGGATCTCGAACGTTGATCCCGAGGATCTCGATCACAAGGATCACGCGTCTTTGTTGCGACGCCGCAAGATTATGACGGTGACGACAAAAGACGAGGGAGAAATTCACTAGGAGGGAGCGTATCACAATTGCATATCGTGCATAACGTCGTTCGGATCTCGTGCGGAATAGTGCGGGGGAGATCATGTCGGGCGAAGATACTCGGACATTTACCTGATGACGGATCGTTCAGCGCGGTTACCCATGTCGCGATGCAGAACACCGGAATCGCGAGAGCGTGAAGCATATTGTTACGTCGACGACGCGGCTACGTCAACTGAGGAGTAAACGCCGGGCGCCGCGACGCGTACCGGTCCACTTTGCCGCCAAGCACGCGGGCGCCTGCGTGCTGCCTCGTTCCATGCGTTCCGCGACTTTCTTGTCCGAGGGGCTACCCTCGGGATGCTAGGGGACCGGATATTTGTGTTTACTATCAAGTAATTCAAAGGTGAACACGGAAAGTGAAGACGCAAAAGCATGCATTTCGCGAATACAATTTAGGAGAAAAAAAGATTTACAATGTAATTGCATGGGGTGCATGTATTATACAGATAAATTATTTATATAAACTCTTATCATTAATACTTTCTCAAAAAGATTTAAATGATATCGAGAGATTTCTCGGTGAATTATTGACAAAATTTTATTTTAAGAGATACATGAGTAACGAATGAAAATATGATCAAAATTTGAAATTACATGAACAGAATATTTTCGATATATAACCCGTGAAATAAATGTATTTATTTTTAATAAATGGTTGATATGTCACGGCTTTTCATTTAAATCATTCGAATCATCGATTCGGTGATTTATGTATTACTATGCACCCTCTCGATCCAAAAATGGTAAGCATATTATATGGGCAAATTAAATGGGCAAAAAATTTGAGGCATGATGCGAGATATATCAAAAATCAAGAATTATTTAAAAAATTTTACAATTTTAAATAATTTCAAATGTATTTCAAAATAAAATATAAAATATTTTATATTCACATAATGACGTAAAATATATATCACCCCATCGCGGAGATAAATCAGCAATTAATTTTACAAATAACGAATAATTTAAATAAATTATGAATTGCTTACCCCAAGTTGCTTCACCATCTTCTGCCTTCTCCTCTTCTCTTGTTCACCAGCTGTTCCTTTATAGCTCACTCACGATACTCGCAAAAACAATGTTAATTACGATCACGCGCGCACTAATCAGCAAACACAACGATCGTGCGACACTTTGCACGGCACTCCTGCCGTTAATCACACGCAACGCGCATTATGCATATTACACTTTATTATGTACCTATATTACGACGGGAGAACAACGCGCGAAAACTCACGAAGTTACTATTCATTCAGTATTAGAAAATTGTGCCACTTCAAGCGTCACTCGCCACCGCATTGCCATTTCTATTGTTAACAAATTTTATATATTCATATTTTAAGACAATTTTACTATCTCGCTTTGTAATATAAGTAACGAAATTTGCAAATTGTAATAAAAGATAAAAAAATTTGCGGATAATTGTTAATATATGTAATAATCGTAGGGAGAGATAACGTTTCACGACGATACGACGACACACACTGAGCAACTCGCTGCTTCTATATCCGATTGACGCCGCGCGAATAACAACAAGGTGTTTACATAACGTATATAAACACTGGTACGCGAAAGTTGGCTGCGTGATTGTTGATTCTCGTTGCCAAAGTATTTAATATAATATAATACAAAATACGCTTATGAGAATATATATTCTATCTTTCCTTGCAATTTATTATTAATAAATAATTGATATACCACGCGACTTTACATTACTTGAATTACTCGTTAAAACGAAGTATCGTAAAAGAAAGAATTTGCTGTCAATATCGCAATGAAACAATAATTTATAATTATTGATCTTTATTGTGCTTCAATTTTTGTTTCGTGTGAATAAATCACACGAAATACTCATATCGATAGAACTCGCTTCTCATGCTTATGAGTTATTAATCTCGTTAATTATAATAATCATCGCAAATTGTCACGTTTGGCATCTCCTAGCACCTGTTGCGATCGTATTACAAGGATAACGCTATTCGCCCGAGTCTCGTAACACGAATGGCAGCAAGATAAACCCGTGTGTACAACAGCGTGCTATACATCGCAATGTTTATATTTATGTTCTCTCTCTCACTCTCTTCTACGGAATGTTATTATAGAGACAATTACTATAAAGGATAATTTTTAAAATGAAAATGGCTATTTTTATTAAATAGATATTCTTTAATACATCTATTCCATAAAATTATGTATGCCAGCGGTATAAAATTAAGATCGCGAACGCATTTGTCGAGAATTTTCTCTTAATTTATGTAGGAACATAACGCAAAAAATAAATCTTGTCCAATTGTGTTTAAGTCTACTTTCATTCTGATTAACGAGTACGTCTATCGAAAAAGTTGAGAAAGAGCGAGTTTGCATGATAATTACTTTCACAATAATTACATTGTTTTGTAATCGTTGTAAGGATCTTATTTCGTTCCGCATCTGCTTCTTGTTTAGCACGAATGAATTTTATAATATCTTGATATTTGTTTTACACGAACAGGATTTTAATTATGAGAAACCTAACTTATACCATTTTCGATATACGCTTACTTATTAAGAATCTTCAGATGTATTTAGTATACTATACACTCCATATAATTTTGTTTTGTATTATTTTCTTCACATTGCATAAATATAAAAGAGAATATAATATACATGAATGCATTTAAATTAATGTATTATTGTTTATAATGATGAATGATGCTAATTACTTTAGCCAGAAAAAAATATAATAATATTAGCAACGGTTGATATCAGTCAATTAACTTAAAATCAGATATTAATATATTATTCATAATAACATATTTACCGTAATAAATACATTATTAATCTTTCTTTTATTAAAGATATTAAGATATTTATATTTATATAAATTGGAAAAGAGAGAAAACTCATTTTCAATCGATTCACGTACCATAATGTAAATTTTGTTTATCATTTTCTGTATTATGTATGAAATTAAAACGTTATAATTTTGACATACATAATATTTTATTTTACTTTGAATTTCGTGCTCACCCTATTTGCCTCTATATTATAAATTAATCATATTTTAATGTAAATTAAATTATCTAGCATATAACGCAAAGAATTGATGTTATGAGTTGTTTGCAATGTTAAAAGCTTTACATTGCATTTTTAGTATTATTTTTGTGATATATATTAACTTTATTATAGCCTTATTTTACCATTTATTAATATCTATATATAAATTTTTTGATATACATTAACTTTAAATTTTCTGATATATATTAACTTTTAATTTTCTGCTAAACGAGAAATGGTCATAATTGTTTTTCTCGGTTGGTATAATTTTCAAATTTTTACGCTTGATGCAGAGATCTAAAAATATATCTATTTTAACAACTGAACAATTAAAATTGTTACGGGATGTTGTTTTGAATATATCCGTTTTATTTTTTAATATTTATATAGCATATCGGAATTATCGGAAATTTCTTTCTTATCTAAATAAATAAGATATTTCTATAAATCTTGAAATAGCAATTTACAGTTTTACTCGAGAAATAGATTGATTGATTGAGATTTGTAAATATCAGCTATGTAAAACTAGGGAATTGTGTATTATTAAAACTTTGAAAATACTGTCAGAATAAATACAAAGCAACTATCGATAAAACACAAAGCAGTTTATCGATGCATCGTTACGGAAAGCAATTATTTGTTTTTGCTGCTTCCCGTAACTTTCTACGCTTCGATGCATCAGCGAATTGTCCACTTTACCACCCGTAGCGTGATACGTACGCAATATTGCTTTTTTTCGTATTTGTTTTTTTCGGACTAGTTTGTGATACACACTCATGCAGAAAAAATCCCTTCGTGAAGTTCCCACGTGTTCGATCGTAGCAGAAAATTTTATTTCTGCATATTCAAATACATACATATATAGTGTAATATTTTATTTATACAAAGAGAACAAAGGAAAAAAGATCAACCCACACACAAATGCTAAATATGTAGTGAATAAACACTGAAATCAGAAAAGATCTGTGGCATAAAGTGAAATAGTGCAACCTCTATCAACGATTTGTTCCTTGAAGAATTGCAATAGAAGTAGCTCGCGTGATAATTCATGCTCGCCGCGGATACTATTTTCAGCACGCGTGCCACTTGATGGAATCGCACCTCCGGTTCAGCGCCATTACGTACAATTGTTTTCGCTTATTACATGCATGCGATTCCTGCAGATATGGATGCACCGTGAAAATCTCTTTTCTGATGTGGTTTTTGAATATAGATTAAAGAAATATTTCATTCGTATACTTAACAGACTAAAATTATCAATTTGCCATTTTCTGAGAATTAAAGAAGTATCTCGTTGATAACAAAATTTGCGCGAGGAGAAGTTATTCACACGGATGTGAAATACACGCAGTTCTTTTTAATGTCATAATACAGAATATTTGTCCGGCATATCAAAGATCTTTAATGTAAACATCCATATAAGCCTGTGTCACGACTATTGCTATGTGTTGACTTAGTATCGTGAAAGATGAGGAGCCAATGAATTGTTGTGACGATGGCATGCAATATAAGAATGTGCGACCAAGCCACTTTGCATGTCAGTGATTCCACTGTAAAAGCAACTTTACCTTCATGATCTTGGCACCGCGTTCCACGACTCGTGAGACACGCTATACCATCATTAATGCCCCGTAGCACAGTGCATTATTTTATTTGCATGATCGTACCTACACTGACTCATCATTCGAAATGGATAGTTAGTAATCTGAAGTTTATGTGTGTGAAAATATTCTGCGAGAAATATTTTTTTAGTCGATTTAAAACAATCTATGATCACGACATTCTCTACCGTGTAATCATCGTAAATGAAATATTATTATCACTTAACTATGCGCGTCTGAAATTGTACAGCATTATATAACAAAAAGAGTATAAGAATTATCAATTCCACAAGCGTTCTAAATATACAATCTAATTTTGTAACTTGATCTAAAATTTTATTTTTCGCAATCAGCATATTTCTGTACGATCATTTAAATATTTTTATAATGTTCGATCTTCTTTTCGCTCGAACTCATCATCTTTCCTTTCTGACGATTCTAAAGAACCAGGTTTTAACGAATGCAACCAAACTCATTCGAACACTATTGTCGCGTGCACACTTGTGCTAGGTACTCCCCGCGCGAGGTGCACGTTCAC